TACTTCCTAATTTTAGCAATTAAGATGATAAAGTCCTGATGTAACTTGGATTGATATCATTCCCCATCCTATATTAGAATACTAAAATTAATTTTATATTTATGTAAAGTTATTCGTAGCTGAGAAATAAATTGGATAATAATGAATATCGACAAACATAAAGAGATCTTAATAATATGTGTTAGAGTAAGGAGAGTATGATCCATATCTTGATTAAGTTTCAATTATCATTTCAAGAGTTTTAATTCCTTTAGAATCACGATAAATAGAACCATAATTAGTGTTGTTGCTATTCATGAATTATATTTAAAAATCTTATAAAGATCACTTCTAAATTTAAATACTTTTGGAGTTGTGTCAACTTATATTGGGTCATATCTTCTTCAACTTATGTGAAATAAGAATATGTCTAAAATGTTGAGTCTATAATAATACAATAGAATTTTACATTAAAAAGACTAACAAACTCCTAAGCAGTTTCTATAATTGTTTAATTTACATCCTAAATATTTATCATAATATAGGTTATCTGGACATAATGGACATATATTTTATTTTGGTGTTCCATAAAAAAAAGCTGTACATTAGTATCATGATCTTCTTATATTGCTGATTGGAACCTTTCCATTATTATCATCAAATTTTGTGAATTTTAAATAACCCTAATATGATTTTTATAAAGTGAATTTATTGTCATTTCATTTGCCTTCCTTCACTTATTAAGATTTCCTTTATATTTTATATACTAGTTAATATAATTTTTGATTAATTCTAATCTTGCAATTATCCTTTCTAATTTATAATTTATCTTATCGATTCATTTGAATTCAGATTCTTAATCCTTATCCTAATTAACTTGATTTAAGATTTCCAAATTCAGTTTTTTATCAAGTTGACAAGCTAATACAATAACTTCACTCAAACCAAAAATCTATTATTTAATTTATACATAAAACTTTATCGATACCAATATTCAGCATCAATTCTTAAAATACCAAGACCTTTAAAGGTTAGTAATCTATTAAGGTAAAGAAGGTGACGCAAGCAAAAAAATAATCAATAATCCCAATAATTTATGGTGATAAAATGCTCCAGCTTAAATATCAAATAATGCTACATTTGTTATAATTAAATAGCAATAAAAATATTATTTGAAATGAAATTTATCAATTGTATAAAAAATAACATTTAAATTAAATTAAATTTATCATCATATGAATAAAACATACTAAATGAAATATTTTAATTAAATCTTGTCATCAATTAACAGAATAAATATCATTAAAAACTATTTCATCCTAAAGCCAATGTCCAACATGTTGATCCTGCATAAATAAAACCAGAATATAAAATAGAGAAGATTGATACCCAAAAAATATGATTCTTTCTGCTGTTGCTTTTGCCAATATTTCTATTCCTGCAGCTCGAAAAACTAATTTAAAATTAATTATCAATAATAACAAAAAAATAGTAATCATTTCCATAAGAAGTCCAGGAATACTAAATATCTTTTATTCTATTTAGAAATATTTATAGTTGGTATGTTTTACATTATCAACAGATGAATATGGTAGATGAAGGAGAGAGTAAATTAATATAACAATCTTAATAATTATTCCTATCATTTGTAATTAAACTAAGTATTTAGTCACATTTTGCTTATGAATCGTTTGAATAAAAGAATCCTTTTAAAAAAAAGAATTTGGAGATATAGTTATTTTTGTATTAAAGTGGGTTCATTAATCTTGCACTTGTTATGAATTTATAGTATATATTATTTTTATTATTTTCGTTTAGTTTAAATTAATTCTAAATTATCAAATTATATATTAAAAGCAGCTAGTTATAGAAAAATATTCTTTTTAAATTTAATTGATTCATCCAAATCTATTAAATGAAACTTGTAAATATTTTAAGAGTTTCAAATTTTTTACGTAGAAATAGTAATATTGTTAGTAGAGTTGTTAAATATGAATTAAGTTTTACAATTAATTAAGAATCTGGATTTATTACTCTTTTGCTTGGATATAAATTACGGCTATAATTTAATATTCTAAATAATTATTATATCAAATACTTAAAATTAAAATAATTATATGATATTGTAATCATCTCTTTTACATTAATTTTGTTATATCTTTCCATTTTCTAAATCTTTGAATCCGAACACACCATAAATTGATTTGCTCTGTCCTTTTAAAATAATGCAACTTGAAAATATTATCAAGAAGGAAAATATTTAGCAATTTAAAGATTATGATGAGGAATGAATTTTGCTAATTTTATTGAAAATTTAAAATTCAAGGAGAGCTTCAAAATTAAGTTCATTAATGACATTTAAAATGATCAATTGTTACCTTATATCTTCGCTATTTTACAATAAAAATTATCTTCAAACACATGACCAGTCAATTAATTAGAAATGGAAAAGTAAAACTAAAATTTAACATTCCAAACCAATAACTGATAAATCAATCACTCATTTCTTTTAAAACAAAAATAAAGTTTTTACTATTATTGCATCTTATCGGTCTGAAAACTAGTTTTAAACTTTTATAAATCTATCTGAGAATGAAAAATTGAAACCCGACAATATATATCAAAAAGTTGATTTAATCTACACAAGTGTCTATCAATATAGTTGACATTAATTTGGGGGTATACAAGGAGTATTCAATCATCTGTAATTAAACTTGAAGCCATGGAATAGATGAGAAAATTTTGAATATGAAAAAAATACATTCTCAGCTGAGCTAAATCTTTGCATTCAATTTTATCAATAAATGGCATATATTTAAGAAATGTTACTCAAAATATTTCATCATTAACTTTATTTTGGGGATTTTCAGATTAGGAATTTAATATTTTGTCAATGGCCCTCCAACAAGTTGTTAAATTATAGTATATAAAAATATAAATCCCAACAGGGATTAATAAAGGATAATGAGAAATTGCTATTGATTTTAATAATGAATATGCATACAATTTGCTTTAGCGGAGATCTACTGTTGCAAATTCGGCATCTCCTTCTTTTACTCTTGATCCAAGAACAGAAAAAAAAAAATTAAATTGATTGAAAATTTCTTCACAATTTTTTAACTCTTAAGTTTGTTTTTTTTATCATGTTTATTACTTGAAAAGTGTCATTGCTTAGGAATAATATTCAGGTGTAACAGTAAAAATAATGTTTATTATATAATATTGTTACTAAATGCACTTGATATTATAGCGACTATTAATTGAAGCAAGATTGCCAACTTTGATTGAAAATGAACTTGTATTTTGGTTTTGCTTGAAAGGATGCTGATTTATAAAATTTCAATTCAATAGATTTTATTTTTCACGGTTATGGTTTATGTTAAAGTTTTGAAAAATTTACTAAAATAGAATAAAGCAGATTTGAATTCAAGTTTGTAGTGTTAAATATCAAAAATATACTTACTCTAGTAGAATATTTTTATATATATTCTTTATCAAACATAAAATAGTATATATAAATGCTAAAGATTTAAACATTATTAATATATTTTTTAAAATGCAAAACAGACTGAACAAAGAATTCTAAGATTTAACAGCAGATAATCCTCATATTGAAGTTTAGATAAATAATGACCTTAATAACAGATTATTGTATATTTTCAATAAAATCTTAGATGAATTGCTACTATCACAGGCCCTGAAGGTACAGCTTATAAAGGAGGAAAGTTCAAACTACTTATTAGCTTTCCAGAGAACTATCCGTTCCACCTTTCTAATTCTTAACGAAAATATTCCATCCTAACATATATTAAGATGGTGAACTTTATGAGTGTATGCTTGAAACTTATGTATTTACAAAAATTAGCAATGACAGCCAATATATACAGTTAAACAAGTATTGGAAAAATATTAAATCTTTTCGGATAAATCAATATCGATGAAACACACAACCCAACCATTAAGCTATGGATATGTATAGAAAGAACAAGATGAAATTCGAAGAAATTGCTAGACACGAAACATAGAAGTAAGCTTCATTAATCATCAATTGAATTAAATATTATAAAACCTTTATCTTAAATACTCCTTTTTACTTTTATTAATTAATATAATATTTCAAACCTCAGAAATTAAAAGAAAATAATTTAGAATTGTAAATATTATTTCTAATCCTATTTGAATAGAATTATTTTTTTTAGAACACAGTGGTAAAATCTATATAAGCTTTTTTTTCTTAGGAACAACTATTTTTATCTTATGTTGTTGATGAAGAAAAAAAAAGGTTATATGTTATCAAGTTACTATTTTTAAGTGTTGAATAGGTGAGTTCTCCAAAATTAAAAAAAATTTTTAATTTTAGTAAACTTTTTTCAAACATCAAAATAATTTCAATAAATCTCTCCATTAACTTAAACGATAACTATTTACCAAGCTATAAATCCTATTTATTAAGGTTTTTAATCATATTTAACTATTTTTTCTCCCTCCATTCTAATTTTCATATAATAAACTTTTTTATATTATTTATATGTTTCGTAAACACTCTTTGAATGAAATATTTTGTCAGATTATTTTTTATTAAATTATATTAACTATTCACTTATAGTTAATATGAATGCTTTCATTTCTTGAATATTGAGCTACTTTTTATTTCCAATTTTTTATAATTAAGTATTTTCTCGCTTTTTTAATATATCTTAATTTTTCCTTCTAATTTATTTCTTTTTTATTCTTTTCTTTTTAATTACATTCTATCTTTATTAATTAAATCATGTGATCATTTGAAAAATGTTATGGTTCTCTTTCTTTGGATGTATTTAATTATCTCAATATACTTTATAATTTAATGAAGTGATTACTTTAAGTCATCTTAAGTAACTCCAATTACTTAGTCGACATCTTTGAATTTTTGAAAACTTCGTTATACTGATCTAGTGTATTTAAAACATCGATAAGCCATTATTTAACTTGCAACTTATCATGAGTAAAACCTAAAGACAAATTTATTTTTGAAAAAACTTTTTAAAGCTCCTCAAATACTTTAATCTATTTATAATTTTTTAAGAGTTGCCCAAGTTTACTTCTTACTCTCTATGTGCATTTAGAAATTTCTTATGGAATTAAATATAAAAAAATTCATTTTAATTAATTTCTAATAATAAATCAAATCACAATTGCTATTTTTTTTTTAATTTGAAAAATAATGAATTTTTTAAGCTTGCTAAACTATTAGATTTAAGTTTAAATATTTATTTAAACAACAAACTTTCATATTTAAATGGATTTTTCTTATCAAATATGAATGAATTGGAGTAGAATTATTTTTTTATTTCATTTATAATCGAATATTATATTTAAATTAAAATTAGCAATAATTGCAAGTTAGATCACTTCTTATAGTTTTTATTTTGAGTTTAAAGCAATAAGTAAAAGAAAAGAAACATGATGCTGTGGCTAGCAGGTAGCACATTTGAATTAGTAATTCTTCAACTGGAATTAGCCCATATACTAATGGTATAGATCCTCATTAACAAATTAGGATTGTAATAATTATACAAATATATTTACTATAAATAACCTTGGGAATTATTGTGAAGATATTACTTGTCGGAATGCTTCATATACTTTATCACTTTCAATTACAAAAGGCTCATATACTCATTCTAATTATTGTGGTCAACTTGCACAATTAAAAAAACAGCAGATGGATGCAGAACTATGACTTTTGTCAATGCAATATATGCTTAAACTAGCGGCTCTTCTTAGAGTTGTATTATAGTTTTAAATAAATATATAAAATTTTCATTTTTAAAATATGATTATGAGATAGTTTAAATAAATGGATACAGGATTTAACAATATAAAATCATGGGTTTCTACTTGTGAATTGGATACTTCTAATGGTAGTTGGTTTCATAAAACTTGTTTTTCTTGTAGATAATCATTTTCTACTGAAGTATTTATTCTGGAAATTATAATTATACGACTTCTTGTACAATTCCCATTAGAATATATACTATTGCTGTTAATGCTCATTAATAGTTATGATTTTATTGTAAAAAGCAGGATATGAATTTTGGAAATCTAGCTGCACACAGAGGTTTTTCAATAATTTGCTATCAACATATACTCTTGTTATTGTAAATTAAATATTTATAAGAAAACCTGTAATTTTTCATGATTATTTGTTAATTTTAAGACTGGAACTTTTTACTTAAAATTAATTCATATCTGCAAATTGTTAAAAGAACAAATCGCGCTAATCAAGCATTTTATGATATTACTGTGACACTTTGTTATTCAATTGTAAAGCTAATACTTCTAAAACTAATGTTCTTGAGGACGCTTAATTAATTTTTAATTTAAAATCAATATTTTTTTTCATTAAATCATGTTTATTTAATTGGAAACCATAAGTTAAACTTATTGTTAAAAATGGTTGAATTATTGGAGAATAAATTCAGAAGGAAAAGCTTATTTGACCGATTTTATGGAATTAAATTTTAACATTCATTTATATTTATTATGACGTTTGCTCATCTTATTACATAGATGAAAGAAATAAGAATTTTCAAAAAAATTTTGGTTGTTAATTAACTAGTGTTTATTGCTTTAATTTCTTCATATTGTTAATATTATTGTACAAGTAATGAACCTATAGATTGTAAAATAATTAGAAGATGCACAAATTATAATAATTTAATATAAATGTTCTAATTAATGATAGGACACGTAACAATTTTATAATAAAGCAATGTGTATGTGATCCCTATCATATCATTATGCTGATTTTCCATCTGAATAATGTAAATTCAATCATACTAATTGTTGTTTTTTTTATAGAGTTGGATCTAACATTGGAGCTTTGCTTAGTACAGAGGAGATAAGTGTACTTCAAATGAATAGAAATCCTTATTTTGAGGTTCTAATTCAACATTTAATTAAACTAAGTGGAATAAATTTAAAAAAGAAGAAAAAGTTCAAAAAGAATATGGTGATAATTTTTTAGGTGATAATCAATATTGGAATTTTATTAAGATTCCTAAACTGAGTATGTCAAATCGTTTATTTCTTAAAATTATGCAAATGACCAAAGCTTAAAGATTTTGAAAAATGGAATGCAATAAAATTTACTTACCTAAACCAAAGACATAATGGAAATGGGATAATTCATAAAGTAATAATATTATCATTTGAATTAGTTTCCTTCCATTATTAAAGAACCTGTATAATAAAACTTAAAGGGATTTTTGAAAAGAAAAATTTCTAAAGTTCTTGGAATATTTATTAAATTATGATAAAAATGACATTAAAACTCATTAAGGTATTTAAAATTAAATTAAATTTTAAATTTAATTGAAATCACATGTACTGGGTTATTTAATTATTTTGAATTAGAACCAAATGAAATAGATTTTGTTGAACAAATAATGATATTTTTGTCAAAAAGAATATTTAGATTAATCAGCTGCTGATGTAATAGATAAGAGAAAGCTTATGCATGTAGTAGATACATATTTGAAAATATTCTTTTCATTTATCATAATGATAGTTTAGGAGTAGTATTTGAAAGGTGTGCTCCAAACAGTGTCTTAAAACGGATGAATTTTATTTTATAGTGATGGAAAAGTAAAAATAATTACAATTAGGTTCTTGGCATTAATCAAATAAAATAATCAGAAACATGGAACATAAACAATTTATTGGCAAGTAATTATTGCTTATGATTCCTCTGCTTTAATTTCTAATATATCTTATAAACTAAAATCTAAAGGAAAATCATCATATGTCTTTGCCTATTAGATCATTCAGTTTAAATTATAATTCCAAAAAGACAAATAGATAGAAAGAATGGTAAATATTATAATAATAGAAATACTTATATACATAGTGAGTTGAAATCATAAACATTATGTCCCATCCTCGAGAAATTCGTTAGTGTATTTAAAATAATCAAATTTATTAGATTGAAGATTATTATGCACCATCAAATGATCAAGTTTCTGATAATATTTATATTACAGGTTCTTAGTATACCAGGTGTTACCTTCTAAATTTTAGAATTGTTTAGAACAATTACAGGAGAGAGCTGAGATTTAAAAAAATTGCCAAATTATTCGATATGATTTCTAAAATACCATCAGCATTCCTTTCATCTAAGATACACCCAGTTATACACCACCAACTACTCTAGGTTGTTGTGTTTTGAAATTATACGATTAGAATGATCTATAACTGAGATTAAAACAAGTGGAGGAATAAGTATGAAAAACGGCTTCTTAGGATTAGATATTTTTAATTAATTATTTAATTTCCTAACACCAATATAATTAAATTAAATTTATTCATAATTTCTTTTATTACTATTAAAAAAAATAAAAGATCTTCAAAATTGCTGAATAACTTCCTCCTACTAGAAAATAATTTTATTACATTTATTAAATGTTCTCACAAATTCCATAAATATATTGATTATGAAGATGACTTTGAAAAATACTATCAAAAACTCACTGAAGGAACTTTCTTAGATGAGCAAAGTTTTATTTTA